GGGAGCCCGATGCGGGACTCGATCCCGGGACTCCAGGATCATGACCTGAGCCGAAGGCAGTCGCTTAACCAACTGAGCCACCCAGGCACCCCTGAATTCCCTCTTATTATAAATTAATGAAAGCTTGATGAGCAAATATGTATATTGATATTTGATACTTTTAAGGACATATGGGGAACTCATACCCCTTACACAGATAAATACATTCAAGAGAATATTACCAGGCTTGATTCACCTCTTTGGATCTCAGAAAGTAAATAGTACTTTACTTTCACCCAGCTCCTAAAACTTTATTTCTGCTGCAGGAGAAGACAGGATTTCATTTAACTAGATAACTGACCAGCATGGGTCGCTGTAAACTGGAAATAATATATTATTTAACATAGTAAGACAAACTTCCCCTTTTGAGGGAAACGACTTGCTGGGTCTTCTGCGAACACCTCAATTTCTCTTTTGATCCTACTTCACAAGCAGTGCTAAGAAATTAGTATTTAGATTTCTTTTTAGGAACTCCCTAAGACAGGTCACCTCTGTATTCTCCTTAGAGTGCTAGACTAGCCAGGAAAGCGGAGATTTCTTCTTGTATGCTAAAAATGTATGTCAAATAACCATTATGAACCCTGCCTATATTAACTTTCTTCTCACATACATGAAGTGGGGAAATGCAGGGCTCTTGATAGGCAATAAATGTAAACAATACCATATGCTTTAATTACTCATTTCATTCAATGCTCACAACAACTAAGAAACAATAATGGCAAGCTACTAAATATGATAATGAAGAAGAAAATAATTGGGAAGTTTAAGCAAATATTTAATATGAAATTTATGACACATACATTTATGATCTCATGTCCCTGATCTTTCTTCCTTTTACTTTCCTGAAATTTGCAAATACCTTTTTAGCTCTGAATAGCTAATTCGATACCAGAAACAACGATTCATTCTGGTAGGCACCATATATATATTTGGTGAAAATGAAAGGAGCTAAATCCCATGTTGATAATACACGTTGATGATAACAGTTTCAAGTTCATGAAGTATGCTCCTAGTTCCTGGCAGTATAAAAAGGCTTCTAGTTTTGTTTATAAATTTAAAACAAATTTATCTGTAGCACTGATGTGATCATAGAAAGTGATCCATGATATCTTCCTTATCTTGCACACACACCGCAGCGAGGTTAAGCCTCTGAGTGAAACCTCCTGAGTGACTATCTTAAAGCCTATGTTCCACAACCTGCTGGCTTTCCTGACATTCTAACAGTAGGTACAAGGTATTTGACTAAATCTTTAAATATTATGGAAACTTCTTTCATTTCATAAATCTAATAAAGTTCACCATCTCTAATAACAAACAGATATTTCTTAAAGGAAAGATAATCTCCAGATAACAATACATGATTTTAGGATCTGAGAGGTAAAATGTGTTTGTAAAGTTGATATAATACAGAGCATAAAAATGAGCATATTGATTCTGGAGGGAGAAAGACTTAATTCTAATCCCAATTCTGTCACATGCTAAACGTATGGCAAGTTATTTCTCCGAGTCTCAGTATTTTTTATCTGCAAAATAACACCTACATTGAATAACTGTTGTAAAGATAAGAATTGACATTTGTAAAGATCCAGCAGAGGGCACACATTAGGTGCTTAATAAATAGTAATTATTTATTCTCATCCATCATTGCATGGCATCATTGGCTAAAGTAGTATTTCAGCTCTGAGAGCATACATTTGGTCTGTGATAAACTAGCTGAGCAGTTCAAGTACAATTTCAATTAATATAAAGATATGCAGTGATCAAATAAATAAATAAAGATTCTTTGGGCATTTTCTACAAATTGTCTTCCTATACAGCTGTCTTCTAAATATAAGCTATAAGACTCTGGAAAAAGCTAAGAGATCAAAAATTGCCTTTATCACCTTTATGGCTTTAGTCTGGAAAAAATTATTAACAGTGATAATGACCTTGAGCTCTTACGGAATTTCCATAACTACTGTATAAGTATATTCACTACCAAGAAATGGATATTTTTTTTTTGGTACCACTGAAATAATAAAGTGAGATAGAATCTAGAAGACACATTTCAGAGGTCTACTCATTATAAAGTGCCTATGATTGTCACGTTAAGGTCTGGGACAGATAAAACTCATATTAAAACATAAGGCAAACTTTTTAAACAAAATGCCTTGATGATTTGAGTTCTACTGAACTACTGCCTCAACTGACTGAAACTCTAACTTGCACAGTTTAAGTGCAACTGCTTGAGCTTAAGATCAGTTTTGGGAGGAAAAAAATACACACACACACACACCCAGCGACAATTCCTTTTAAAACCTGAATCTAGATGCACACTCATTCAGAGATTCAATTATTTCAATGATTATAGTACCTAGATGGTTTCCTTTTCATTCTGGGGAATAAACACACTTAAATACTATGCACAGCTTAGAGAAAGTGACCATGGATCATCTGATTGTGAGGACTGTGAGGACATGATAAAGAGTCATTAGAATGGTAAGAGCAATCTGATTACTACTTTCTCATTTGAGGCAGTTTACCTACAGTCCAAAAAAATGCTTTCAATCATTTCACTGATTAAACGCCAAAGCATCTTTTCCATTGCCAGTGGAAATGGTTGGCATTTAATTAAAATAGACTCTTCTAACTATAAGTAATTGAATAAATAGTGGCTAAAATGGTGAACTGATAAATAACTAAATAATGTAAAAATGAGAATCATCAAAACACTTTTGAGAACACAGTTCTGCTTGGAGGGCTCCAGGGAGGAAGTGCCTCATTTTCAAGAAAGGAATGACGCTTCTTTTGTTTTCGTTCAATTCTTTCCTGCCTTTCTTTCTTTTCCTAAAAAAAAAAAAAAAAATAGAAAACTATAAATTTATATACATATATGAGCATTATTTTCAAATCAAGTTGCTTGCTAAAGAACAAAGTAATCTATTATAAGACATTTAAATGTCACTTCCTATTTAACTGGTTATAAAGGAATAGTGGCTGAGAATATTGCTCATTTATAAGTATACTACCAACAGGTATTAATGCACCACTTGATCACTTATTTTTTCATATTAAAAGTGTAATACTTAAACAAAATTATGAAAAATGGGAAAAAAAGACCTATAATTCTATAACTCAAGGAGTATAATTATGAGAAGTTAGTGATGTCTTTCTGAGAACAGATTCTCAGAACTAAATTTACTGGGTGCAAAGGTTGAATATGCCATGACAGCAGGGATACTTAAAAATTTTTATAAATAGTTGAAAATTAAGTCTCATGTTTCTTTACTTCTTTATTATTAAGCTTGAGCACATTTTTATTTCTTTAGCCTTTTTGTGAATTTTTTTGCTCAATTATCTGGCTCATCTAACTATATGGGTATCAATGCTTTTAATGTTTGGCAATTTTATATTTTCATATGATAAATATTATCTTTGCAAAGCCAACATTTTATCTACATTAATTTTAGTCCTTTTTAGCAAAAAAAAATTAAGAAATATTAATATTTCAGCCAAGACAATTGTTTAAACAATAATGTAATCAAAACCTGTATGCCCATCTGCCTTATAAAAAAAAACAAAAAACGACCAATACTTTTGAAGGTCTGTGTTCATTCCTTCATCACACTGCTTCCTCTCCACCCCACTGAGGTAACCATTACTCTTAATTTGATGCTTAGCATTCCAGTGCATCTCTTCATACCTGTATTATAAATGTTATTAATCCCAAAACAAGTAATTTTGTTTTGCATGTTTTTATTAGAGTAAAAGGTAACATGCTATATATTTTTTGCAACTTCCTTTTTTATTCATCTTAATATCTCTAAGATCCACCTATGTGAATTATAGCTCTAGTTCATTGATATTCCATAGAATATTCATAGAATTCCAGCATGTCAACTTATCACCATTTGTTAACCTATTTTTGTTGTAATTGAAAACATGATGTTTTTTTTCTCCATGTAAAGACAATACTATAAAAATCCCTGTTTGTTTCCTTGTACTTACAAGATTTTCTCTCCATGTATATGCCTAGGAGTGAAACTGTTGGTTTTCTAGGGTATTAATATGTTCAACTTTGCTGGGAAATGATTTATTTTCCAAAGCAGCTGTAGGAATCCACCCTCCAAGCAGCTCCTACACTGACTTTTTATGTTAATGCATTAATGATTTTAAATTCAATATCTGTTCATGTTTTCCTTTGTTATTTCTATAGCACTTCTCGGTTTAGAAAAGCATCTTATCCCTGTAAGACTTGATAGCGTCTTATTTTCTTTCAGTTCTTCTATTGTTTGGCATTTTATATTTAATGCTTAGGTGCTTTTGAAGTTTCTATTGCTGTTTCTTTGAAGTGATTTCATGCCCAAATGTCACACAAATAACCCAAGTTATAGTTTCCTTGCATCTATTAATTTGTGTCACTTTATTATATGGCACATCTTTACTTGTAACAGGTTCTGAGAGATCCTGGGGGGGGGGTCTATTATTTTACTGGTATTACACTGCTTTGATTTGTGTTCATTCATTCAACTGTTAAGCACTGAGATCCTACTGTAGGTCAAGCAGTATACATACTGGAGACCATGCATAAAGTGATTCTAAAATCCAAACACACAGATTCGGTCCTTGTCCCTCAGGGGATTTTCAAAACGGATAGTTAATAAACAATTAAATAAACAACAGATCATTTCAAATGGTGAGAATTTCTATGGAACATATAAAAAGTTGTTGTGATTGTTAAAGAATAAAAGGGAGTACTTATGTTCAAAGAAAAGTGGATTCAGGGAAAGTCACTTCAAAGTGAGACAAGACGGGTAAGAGAAGCCCCTTGTGAGAGGCACTGAGGAGAGAGCATTCCAAGCAGAGCGAACAGTATGTGTGAGGGCTCCGACATGTGGGAGACACATGGGATATGAGAGGAAACAAGAGAGCCAGCGTGAGCCAGCATGACTCAAACTGAGCGGAAGACAGGAGGGGGTACCAGACGAGAATAAAAAGGCAGGTGAGTGAGGTGCTGTGGGGCCTGCAGGCCACGGTAACATCTGGAACACAGGTTAAGAGAAGTCAACAGTGACACTGAGGAGGAAGGCAGAGAAATGAGAGACACCAGGGGAGCAGGGCACCCAGGGGAGAAGACAGTTGCCACAAGGGGAAAGCGACCACGCAGAATGTTTGAGAGGTCTGGGGAATGTAGCAGAAAACAACACAACTGGATGGCTAGATGGTTTGGCAAAACTAACTTTCCAAGCGTAGTTTCAGTATAGTGATGGTGAAAGAGACAAGTCCGGAGTGTGCTGAGGGTGAAAAGGGTATGGAGAACCAAGAAGGGTAAATAAAAATTGTAGAAGTTTAGCTATTAAAAAAAAGAGCAGTGAAATGTGGAGCCACATCTGGAGGCAAATGAGGAATTAAGAATTATACATTTTGGAAAGTGATAGGAATAATCCAGGAGAGAAGAATGCTGGTTCATAGGAGAGTGGGATGGTAAATTTATATTTTACTGCTTGATGGAAACCGTCCTACACTTCATCTTATTTTGAAAATATTATCGTCCATATTGTCACATTTTTTTTCTCTTTAAGATTTTATTTTTTTATTTGATAGAGAGAGACACAGCGAGAGAGGGAACACAAGCAGGGGGAGTGGGAGAAGGAGAAGCAGGCTTCCTGCCGAGCAGGGAGCCTGATGCGGGGCTCGATCCCAGGACTCTGGGATCATGACCTGAGCCGAAGGCAGACGCTTAATGACTGAGCCACCCAGGTGCCCCATATTCTCACATTTTTATTATACTGGATGAATTTTAGAACCATTTTGTTTCCCTGCACACACTCTCTTCAAAGAAATGACCATGCGAGGATTATTATGAAATTTAAACATTAATCCAGGAATGCTTGAAATGTTAGTAGTACTTGCTCTTTTCATCCTGTAGCTCAGATTGTCTCTTCATTTCTCCAAGTCTCTGCTAACACTATAAAGTTTGGTGGTTTCCTTATATTGGTGATTTTCTCAAAGAGCAACAGTATCCAGGAACCCTTAAACAATGTTGCCTCTGCGGACTGGATGGCTTGGGAGGGGCAGCATTTTGGTCAATTATGAGGTGTCTATGATTCTTTCGCCAGCATATGTATGGAATTGAGAGGTGTCACAAGGAGAATACCATAACGCAAGGCTTCCATCAGCATACAATTATTTACATACAACAAAAGGAATGAAGAGAGGTATGAAATTCCTATTTTCTGTCTTAACATTTTCCTCCAATGCTTGCTACTCCTACTGAAGCAAAGAGGGAATCTCCTTTCAGAATCCTAATTGAGAAAAACAAAACAAAAAAAACCCCCAAAAACCAAAAAACTGTAATTGGGTCACTGTCAATCATTTTATATATTAGAGAGAGGCAGACCCTCCAACTAGGGAGCAGAAAAGCAATGACTAGGCTGTGTCCACAGAAACTGACTGAACAAACCTCTTTTTGTCCATTCCATTTAACAACATGGGGAGAGAGAGGGAAACATGAAACAAGTTTGCTCTTACTAGTAGGGGCTAAGAAAGTCAGAATAGGAAATAAGCAACTAATTATCAACCTTAATATTAATTAAGATGATCAATAAGGCTATCTGGAATAATCAAAAGAACCTTGTTAAACAGTCCTTCTGAGTATTGACTGTTGGAGTGTGAATTTTTTACTCATTTTCTTATTAATGGTAACTATTAATTAATCTGGGAACCAGCATGAAGAAGAGAGTCTTACTGATCTTTGGCTGTAACTTCCACCTAAAACAATAACCGATCCAATGCTCACTACTCAAGCTAGATTTTTATAACAAAATTTTGAGATGTAACTTTACATTAAAATTGAAGTTCTTAGGAAAGATGG